GCAGTCATCAAATATCTCGAAATCCAGTGCTATTATTTACCAGCCTCATCTGCATATATTTAGTGTTCAGCTGCTTGCTTGCAAGGCCAATGGTTTTTGGAAATGCCGTGCATTACACTTTAATTTCCTGGTCATTGGTTTATTTTAATTACTCTGAAATTTATTTTAGAGAAGAAAGCAATGACAATCAAGAATACAGGGGTCTGCGTTTGAGGACTGGGAACAGAGTACAGAAAGGAGTCTTTCGCTTTGGAGCTGCTGGTAGCAATCCAGCCCGGTTTCAGACTTAGCAAAAATCATTACTGTGTGATGGTTTCTTGGTGCACTCTACATCCACAAATGAGTCAGTGTCCACATCACATAAACCACGAGAACAATTGGTGCTACTGTAATTGGGAGTCTACTGGCAGCGTCAGTGGAAAGGGCAGGGATTTAAATGATTAGGGAAATGAGCTGCTTTCTCCCTGCTCCCTCAGGTCATCTTTGACAGACATGTGTTTGAGGAAACTTAGAAGAAATTTGATCAGTGGTAGCTCCCTTCTGGAGATAGATGGAAGATTTTACTTCCCAGTACTGACAATCTGACACCCACTAACAAGCATTATATTCAAGAAAAATAAAGGTCTTTATGGGATCATTTAATATATGAAAGCATGAAATCAAAAAGAAAATGCTAAGTATGGTTGAAAAATCAACAATAAAATCCAAATGCTGACTTGACCTAACAGGAACAGAGCCAAACAAATATTATCAAGCATGACCACTGCTGGCAATAATTGCTTCTCTGAAAAACACAGGGAAATTCTGCTCTTTTATTAAACTGTTGAACAATCTCTTTGAGTAGAATCCCTTCTAGGCAAAAATAAAGGAGTGCTTCCACTGTTGAAACATTCTCTTTAGAAATGAAAACATAGATTGGTAGAAGAAATGGTGGGCTTTATTGATGTCATGGAAACAGCAACTGGAAGGAGAGCTCTTAGCAGCACAGGACCCCATAAAGAGGGTGCCTTTAGAGAGGGCTGGGACTGCCAATGTGCATATGAATCAGTGGTGGAGGTTGGAAGGGACCTCTGGAGGTCATCCGCTCCAGTGCCTGAACTAGGCACTTCACTGGGTCATCTGCTGTGAGATAGAGAGGTCCTTATCTTAGAATTTATATGGCACCGTTAGCAATGATGAAAAAAACCTGCCTCTGGTAAGAAGCTAATCATGTACTACCAGAGATGCATTTAGCCTCAGACTTCTGGTAAGCTTCAAATAGTTAAACTGTGAAGACATCTCTTAATATGCTGAAACGACACAGTCACGTACAATGATTACAGTGGTGAATGTGATACAAATTTTTGACTAAGTGAAAGTAAAAAGAATTTGTTTGATGTCAAATAAGTGCATTCAAATCTGAAATGTTCTGAGACAGATTGGACTATTCATGAATTCATGCCAAATTCAACTAAGAATAAAACTTGAACCTCAAGTTGCAGCTTTCCCCTGAAGTTCCTCAAAAACAGAACATTTTGACTTTTCATGTTCAGTTTAAAAACTCTTAAATAATTTTAAATTGGTTTAAGAGTGCCTCTGACCCAGAAAGTTAATTTCTCTGTATTTATTTTGGTGTTTGGGAGGGGGCAAATTCAGAGCAACCCAATAAAAAATGTGTGTGTGTGTGCATGTGTTGGGTGGAGGACTGATCAGGAAACTGAAAGAGAAATTATTTATTCTCAGTTCTCTATTTGTAACCTGCCACATCTCTGCTCTTGGGTTTATTTGGTTTTTTTTTGCTTTTTTTCAGTAGATAATGTGTGTGTAGTAGGTTGTGTGTAGTGTTGTTTGTGCAGAGGAGGCAAGATTTAAATACCTATGTTCCTTCTCAGTTACGTGGTAAGCCCATAACTTGGATTTGAATATGGGTTTGAAGCCCAGTGCTGTGTAGGTGAAACTAGATTTAAATTCTTGCTCCTTCATCTCTTATGCAATATAGCTGTATCTTGAGGGTGGTGGGAAAAAGAATCATACAACAGTTGAGTTGGAAGGAACCTTAAAGCTCATCCAGTTCCAACCCCCCTACCATGGGCAGGGACACCTTCCACTAGACCAGGTTGTTCCAAGCTCCATCCAAGCTGGCCTTGAACACTGCCAGGGATGGGGCAGCCACAGTTTCTCGGGCCAACCTGTGCCAGTGTTTCACTACCCTCCTAGTGAAGAATTTCTTCCTTATATCTAGTCTAAATCTACCCTCTGTCAGTTTAAAACCATTACTCCTTGTCCTATTGATAAAAAGGACATCCTTTCAGGGAAAATATGCAGAAATACTGTGGAGCGCCACAAAGGTGCGAGGGCCAACTTCAAAGTTTCTGGGACCCAGGGTATAACAGCACCCAGAGCACAGATTTCAGTTTAGAGAAGAAAACAAAGTGAGAGTATTTCAGCATCCTGTATCACACCACCGTTTCTTCTAGTGAAGAGTACGTGGTGCATATTTTTCCCTTTTCTATGACCAGTGCTGAATTCCTCAGGGGACTGGTGATTCTGCGGATAGGGCGCCATGGAAAGCTCTGTTCCTTGGGCAGAGCCTCGTCCTACCATCCACAGGCAACGAGGAGAGGAGGCAGGGGTCTTGGTGTTAAGCAAGGAAGAATCTTCACAGAGGCTTTCCGCATTCTATCAGCCAAAGCAAGATTCTGAATTCAGCAGAGGCTGAATTTATGAGAACATCAGCAGGAGGTGGGATGAGGGGCTTAAATGGTGAAAAAGCTTTTAATAGCAGTCTTTGTATTATAATAAAAGTGTTTGTTTTGGTGTCTCTGTCAGACAGTGTAAGCAAGATAAGTTTATGAGTAGCTGATATTTTGTGCAATAGAAATGCATTTGTCCATTCTGAGTGTCTGTTACGTAGCAAGAGGATGACTGGTGATGTTATTAGGCAGACCGTTGTTTCCACGGGCAAAGGGGCATCCTTCTTAATGCAAAAAAAAAACCTGTAACAACCTATAAGCCATAATATGTAACAACACGAAGTGGTATGTGTGAAAGCAGTGCATAAACCCCACTGCCTAAACTAGTGCGGGATAAGATCACTATTGAGAAATCTTATATTGTTTTTGAAAAAGAGCCTTCCAAGGTAAGTCAGAGGCCAGAAAATCAACTGCTTTTGTAAATTTCCTGCAATGCCATACAGGGCACAAGGTTACACATGAATGAAACGATGTTGTATGATTTGGCTTCTTAGGCATTAAAAATCTTTAAAAACCGTAACTGCAGTGTTCATTCCAGAATGATTTTACTTCATGTATTTAGTTAGAGAAAACTGAAACAGTTTGCCATTTATATGTATTCAAAAGCTGCATATTTCCAAGGCTGTAAAGGAAACCCTAAAAAGAAATTACTTTCAGAAGTCAAATAATATTTTTAAATGCATAGAAAAATGCATTAAAAATTAAATAGATGTAAAAAAGAGAAAAATCTCTTTCCTCTTTTTGCTACTTGATCATAACAAGTGATTGTGAAGCACACATAAAACTGGATAGCATAGATTTTTGTTCATAATATATATTTCATTTTATGTTATGCATTTGCCTGAACAGTTGGTTTCCACATTGTGAATTCTCTTTTTCATGAATGTTTTGAAACACTTAAAATTGGAGATCATATAATTATAGCTGTTTACAACATTCTAAATTTGTGCAGAAACTCTCACACAGATTTTGGGTTTGTGTACACATACACAAAATCTTTAGTTTTCTCTAGTTCTTGAAGTTATGTGCTTGCATTTATAACAGCAGGATGAGCCCTAGAATGGTTCATTAAACGTCAAAACTATATAAATAATAACTTGGATCTAGGAGTTGGGTAGCACACCCTTAAGTATCAGTGAGTTTTGTAGTTTTTTCAAGCACCCACAGCTTTCTAAGCAGGTACAATATGAAAGTCTGAATTATACATTGTAATGGTGTTGCTCGTATTATGTTCTTAATAAGCTACTTTAGAAAGTGTGCAAGCTATTAGAGAAATACTGTTTTCATTCATTTATACCTCAGGAATATTGGAGGAATGAGATTTGTTGAAGTTACCACTCTCAAATAATGCCATTGTATTAATATCTCTGGCCTTTTAATGGAAAAATTAATCACTGAAGAGGATTTTTTTAAAAAACAATTGTTTTAGGACGAAATTCACTCAAAAGTGTTATTTTGCATGCATTGCTGTCTAAGGTACCTTTAATGTAACGGTTTACAGCAAGTCCATTACATCATGACAGCTGTCAAGTAAACCTTTTATGTCGTCCTCAGCAAAACCTTTATACTACCTTTGAAGCAGTGTGCTGTTAATTGCTTTCTTCATAGCCTGCTGGATAGAGAGACTGTGTAAATAAGGGTTTTGCATTAGTGAGCAGTGATAATTAGAGATGCCTGACTTTTTTAAGGGGAAGAGGTCAAATTTTCTTGAATTAGGTAGAATGTGACTTTGGGATGAGATTTCCTGTGTTTTAGGCGCAGCCCGACCATTCCTGATATTGGCATGTTCTCAGATGGTATTGTGCTTACCCCCTTGTAGATGTGCAGCCGTGTGTACAGTCTGCACAGGCAGAGCAGGCTTCCTGTCCTGGTGAGCAGGATGGCAGAGGAATGGTCAGTGAAAGAGGGAATGACGTGAACCGACCCGAAATTTTTTTCCGTTGTGCCACTAACCCCCCAAAACCTTCATATCCCCATTGCCCGGCTGGGTAACGACGATCAGAAGTTAAAGGTTGCCATCTAATGGTGAACATGTATAATACGGTGTCCATGGTCGTGTTTCTGTTCTCTTTTCTTACCCTTCTCCAGGTACCTGCAAGTCCTTTCCTTATAAGGCACTAAAGGAATGAAAATGATATTTTATTCAGATTTTACATGGGATGATATGTGATGTTTTATCAGTAACAAGATGTTGCAACTGAATGTGAAAATTCCAGCCATTCAGTTTAACTGAATTCTAATTTCCTAATGCTTTTTCTGTGAATGCAGATATTGACGAGTGTTCCTTTGAAAGGACGTGTGATCACACCTGCATCAACTATCCTGGTAGCTTTGAATGTCTCTGCTATAAAGGCTACACCTTGTATGGACTGACGCACTGCGGAGGTTTGGAAACCAAGTTTTGCTTATGTGTTTGCTTGGTTTGTGAACTGTTTACTCAGCCACACATTCTTTCAGCTGAAGCATTTAGAACTAGAGATGATAAACTAATAAAGTTAAAGCTAAAATAGCGTGAGCTTGCTATTTAGCTTTATTTTGTGTGACTAAAATTTCAGCATCTCAATCTTGGTGAAGAATTCTCAGGAGAAGAACATAAATAAAAACCAATGTCCTGGCCTTTTTTGATGGTGGTACATAGCAGCCCCAGTATAGGTGAGAAGCTGTGATGCTTGCATCCATTGCTGCATGGATGCATGGATGCAGCCATTCTTCCACAACCATTGCAAAGCAGCTTCATGGCTGGGGCTCATCGCACTGTACAGGGTAAGCTTCGTTATAGAGTTCACAAGCACAGAGTACTAATTGGTACTTTCACAGGAGTGAGGTTAGTCACAATTGTATTTACAGAAGGAAGGCTGCAAATGATGAGCTACAAAGAGAATAGAAGGATGTCAGTTTTACAAAGTTTACAAATTTTGGCACGCAAAATGATGTAGCAGAAACAGATGCCAGTCCATCCCTGCCATCCGAGTGTTGAGTTCACCTGATTTGGTAGGGTCAACATAACATACCACATATGCTAACCATATCTCTGCCAGCCCCCTCTTTGGAAGAAAGGGGTAGGTAGTGTATTCTGGTATCTCTTGTATAGAGCAGGAAAAGTAACAAATGAATTCACTGTATAGTAGAGGCAGGCAGGAAGAGAAATTGGAGTTCATCTGAGAAATGAGTTTGGGAAAAGACTTCACTTAAGGGCAGTGCTGAAAGCAAAAGCAGAGTCTGGACCTATGCTATGCAGGGTATGAGAGACTGATTTTCAGTTTCACTGTTAATTCCTTAATGACTTAATATATGTCTTAATTTAGGAAAAGCCTCAAAGTCTTGGGGTTCATCGTCAGGCTTTAAATAATCTTCAGCCTTACTTCAGCTTCAGTCTTTTAAATAAGACTGAAATAGGACCAAAACTCTAACTGGAAGTGCTCAGTGCGGAACCTCCGACAAAAACATGACTAGATCCAAACTGTCTGCTTTTTTCCTTAATGGGCAGATCCAAATCACTGCTCTGAATCCACCCTGAGCTTTGGTGCTCAGGCCTATCATTAGTTTTAGTCAGCCCCTGCAGAGTGATGTTTATAGTGGAACAAATAGCTTACCCTGGCTGCCATCCATGTGGCACTAAGCAGAAGTCAAAACTAGGGAGAAATAATGAGAACCTTCAAAAAGGTTTGGTGCAAGCTTACCTCTTAGGAAGCTTTCTCTCCATCTCGCTTCCCCTTTCTTAGTAATTAATGAACTGTGTGGCAATGTCCTTGTTCTGGGCCTTCATGCTGAAGGACAGTCCCTGTTGCAGTCTGGTGTCTTCTTCATGGCATCTCTTGTAATAAAAGTCCTGCGTCATAAGGGAAACTTTTAGAAGGACAGTGCTAGCACTTACACCACCTGCTGATGTAAAGCTCTACTTTCAGTATAAATTGCCTTGTTAAGTGACCTTAGGAAAGTCAGTAGAATCTGCAGGTCAATTCAATGCTTTGGGGAATTTGGGTGCTGCTTCAGGAGCTTGGTTCTGGGCTGAGGTACCTGACAGCAAGAGCTTGGGTTTGAACAGTTCAGCCAGAGTTCACTGGCAGGAGCACTGTGGGCTAGTATGTGTGTTTCAAGTATGGGTTCACAAGCAGAGAACACTCAGCATAAGCCCCACCTCTATGTATGAAATTTCCCAGAAAAAAGTTTTTTTCTGGGGCTATCTCCCTTGTCCGTTTTTGGAATTGCTAACCCAGGACCTGCAGAAGTTCTGACTCTGACCCAAAAATCATAACATTGTCCAGAAGCATGCCTGTCATATACGGGTGTCTTTCTCAATTTATTTTTTGCATATACTCCATATTTTCCAGATTTTTACTTAACCACGTGGGCTAAAATCTTGTATCAGAAGAAGAAAGACATTTCTAGATTCCAGCAGCTACCCCAGTAAATACTCCCATGTTCCCACCAAGTGCCCCAAGATGCCAGAGGAAAACTTGTCTGATGTGTATGGGTCCACATTTGTTAACCATGCAGGGCTTGAGCCAACCACTCATCAGTCCCACCTCCTACCTGTACCGCTCTGGCTTCAGATGGGGTCACTGGGCTGCAACACTGGGGCCTGGGGAGAACTGGCTTGAACTCAGGCAGTGTTCATGCAAACCACATGGATTCACACAGTGCCAAGCACGTGGTCAAGCCTGGACTCTAGGCATGGTTTGTAAAAGTAGTTAGACACTCAGCCTGGGAGCATTTATGGCCAGACACATTGACGGTTTTCTTCTGTAGTTACATTTTGAGGCCTATCATTAAGCCAGAGTATTAGAAATTCAGTATATCTCCCGTTGATTCGATGTCATTCTAGCTCATTTCAGCATATTGTCAAATGGCACTACCTATGTGCCTTGTAAAAGTATTACAGTAATGCTACTGTTTTAGCAAGCAAATGAACATAGCTGCGTTCAAAGTGCAAAAACCATTTGTCATTGAGGTTAGTGCAGTGCCTAAAATAATGGGACTGTAGTTCATGACAAGGGCTTTTAGGTTATGGCTACATTAGTGAATTAAAGACTCTGGAGCAGCAATGTGCAGCTGATAGTCCACTGGTGCCATATGACAGTTTTGGCCTGTGCCATCTGAGCGTGATCCAGAAGCAAGTACATGGCAGCACAACTCCTGTTGAGCATGATGGATAAACATTCTTTCTGCTGGTGGGAAGAGAGGAGATGAGAGATTGGCCACGTCAGCACAAGTATATAAATGCTGACTGCATAGACTAAAAGAGTACACCTCACATTGACTAAATACTTTTCTAATGTAGCAAAAGTTGAAAGATTTTATGTGGAATATCAGTGATAACATATCCAGTAATTGCTTTACCTTCCTGCAAGCTTTTACCTTTCATTTTCATTGGAAGAGTAGAAGACTAAATAAACTACACTTCAGCTGCTAGGTTCCTATCAAATATGCAGTTTCTTTCTCCATCTGAATCATTTCTAAAAGCAAACTCTGTGAATCACTATGGAGAATTTAACTCCCTGTTATGCAAAAGAGATCTAATCTAACAGAAGTTTATGCTTTTGACATTTTTCCATATAGTGCAATATACATTATTGTCCAGATGCTGCAGAGACTTTTGAGCATGTTTTGTATCTTGTGAGTACTTCCAAGAATTTCAGTGTAATAGCCCTAGCAAGTAATTGTATCATATGCATAAATCCTTGAAAGGGTAGGAGTTGTACATCTATCTAAGGACAGATGCATGCAATACACACTAAAATTGTTTGACATGAGTATTGTCTGCATTTATACGTGTTTATATAGACTTAAATGTAAAAGATATAGTAGAAACAGATACTCTTATGCACATACTATCTTAATGCACAGTATACATGTGTACATGTGGTTAATACTCTTCTCAACTTTAATTACACTTTCAGATATTGATGAGTGCAGCATCAGCAATGGTAGCTGTGACTATGGGTGCCTTAATACAATGGGGAGCTATGAATGTGTCTGTCCACCTGGAAAGAAACTGCACTGGAATAAAAAGGACTGCGTTGGTAAGTGTGGGAAGCTGACTTGGAGGTGACTGTGGTGATGCTCCTGTCCTCCAGGAGGGCGGAAAAGCCCGTGGTTTTGCCTGAGGGATGCTGCATTTTCACAGTATAGATATTGTGAAAATATAGCTAGATCTCCGAATTAATTGTTATAAGGTCAAATAACACCTGATCCTATGGGGTCCATAAACTAGAATGTAACTCCAGGTGGATTAAAGAATGGGCAGTCTGCTGGAATTTTTTTGTGTGGATAGGGGTTTTTTTAGGTTTCGATTCACACATATCTAAGTCATCTTATTATTATGTTATGTATTTTATATTTTCATCCTTAATTTGTCCTTTGTCCGTCTCTGTTGCCCCATCTATATCTCTTTCCCTTTAAGACTAATTTAGAATATTCAAAACATGTAACCGCTTACAAGTAGGACATAGTATTCATGTTAATGAATAAATCTACATTCACAGCACCATACCCCAGTTTTTCAAGTTATCTCCAAAGGTATCCTGCTTAATATGAAGTACTAACACTAGCTGTGTATTATTTGCAATGAGCACAATCCTGTGACCATTAAAATTATGGCACTTGCTTCTAGTGCCATTTTGTGACAGATCTGAATTTCTGTATCCTTCTAGCAGACAACTTTTTTTCTGGGGTCTTATTTGAAGCATAACACATCTTGACCATGGCTACAGCCATTCAAAGTATTTTCTGGGAGATGTAAATTCCATTTTCACATTTTTAACGGGAATGGCATACCTGAGGTCTTTCATAGTCAAATTTAGGTTGTGGGGGTTTGTTTGGGTAGGGGTTTTAGAATCACAGAATCATAGAATAGTTAGGGTTGGAAAGGACCTTAAGATCATCAAGTTCCAACCCCCATGCCATGGGCAGGGACACCTCCCACATTAGACCATGTCACCCAAGACTCTGTCCAACCCAGCCTTGAACACCGCCAGGGATGGAGCATTCACAGCTTCACTGGGCAACCCATTCCAGTGCCTCACCACCCTCACAGTAAAGAACTTCTTCCTTATATCCAGTCTAAACTTCCCCTGCTTAAGTTTTAACCCGTTACCCCTTGTCCTGTCACTACAGTCCCTAATGAAGAGTCCCTCCCCAGCATCCTTATAGCCCCCCTTCAGATACTGGAAGGCAGCCTTCTCTTCTCCAGGCTGAACCACTAGTAATTTCTCATAGATAAACTTGGGGCCTAATACCTAACTGGGAGCAAGACAGAACAAGAAAGGGACTTAACAGAATCTCTGCACATATGGAAGAAAAGCATTACAGTCTTTTACATACTTTTATATATAGCCAGGGAGGGGTGGTGGGTATGTATCTCAGGTTGGGTTTCAGCCTTTGCCATTGACTTCTCTCTTAACCACAACTGTGTACTTCATTTTTCCTGCTTAGCTTTATCTATATTAACCTTCCCTATTATATAGAGAATCAAGTTCTGTAGGCATAAGAAATGATTAACACTGGTGGGTTTTAGTTATCCAACAGGTCTCTCTTGCAATGTACCAGTTACTCCTCTGGAAATGAGTTTGTAAATTAACAGCAGGGACTGCAGTTTTTTGAGGTCTGCTATATAGTTAGACCTCATAGTTAGACAAAAGTTTTGTGCTATATTCCCTTTCAGCCTGCTAAGAATGCTGTTCCCATGGTAAGAGGCTGGTTGAAAATATTTTCCTAGTTGTAAATTTCTCTTCATTATTTGTAATACTCAGAAGATAGAAAATAGAACACTTCTCTGTTGGTATACACTGTTTTATTTGATGAATTCAATGAGGCTTAAAATGAGTGTCATCTCCCTGCTGATCACTTGCCTTTATTACCATCATTGTTTAGAGGCAACTGCATTCTATATTGTTATAAAAGCACAAAAAAGAAGTAGAATGATATTTAGTGATCCTGAATGCCACATGATTTGGAGGTATTTGCAGTTAAAAAAATCCTCTTTTGCTCAGCAATGACACTTTGCGCTTGTATTGTTTCCTCAGTCCAAAGAAACAAATACTTTAAAACCGTCACCAAAGCCACATAAAAGACCTTAGGAGGGAAGTAAGTGGAGGATGATTATTCCCGTATTAAAGATGTGAAGATCAGGTGTGTTTAAGGGGCTTGTATGTATTTATACTTAACCAGTGAGGCCAGGGATGTGAGCCAGCTGGTGGCTGCTGGGACCCGTCCTCTGCACTCAAGCCAAACCAGGCAAGGCTCATTACAGCTACCACACTTGAATTGCCCTGTTTTATCCCAGCTTTACTGGGCTTTTCCCAAATGCTGGCAGATCCAAGCCAGTCTGGCTGCTGCAGCTTTGGTCTCCCTTGGTGCGGTTCAGTGGTAAGCTGACAGGAAAAATGACATTTTCAGTAGCACAGTCAGCCATGAGCAAAACAAGAGTCAGGCACGTCCATCTTGTAAGGTGACCATGTTTGGAAGAAGCAGCAAGGAACAGTCAGGGAAAAAGCATATATACCTGAACAGGCTGAAGTGGCTGAAGCAAGAACTGTTTTACAGACACCTAGCTGAGGTTTAACCAGCTGATGCAGTGTGAAATACCTGCTTGAAGCTGTGCCCAGCTACACTTGGCCTACAGTCAGTGCAGAGATTAAATCTCTGGTGGAAAGGAGGGAAGTGCCTCAATGCCAGTAGTGATGGCACCTGCCAGCTGAAGGAACCTCATCATTTGTGTGGAGCAGAATGTACTTAAGTAACAATTCAGTCCCAAAAGATGTCAAAATAAGTAAAGGATTATAATTATTAGTGGCATACCATCATCTCAGGGTGAAGGGCAGAGACTGGTCCAACAATTCATTACAACTTTCTGTAGTTTCAGCTAAAACACAAACAGTCCCTTACCCAAATAAGAGCAGTTTGAGACCTGCAGGATACTCTGTCTTCATCCTGCCATGAAGCCAAGAGAAGAAGCTGGGTATTTCCATTGCAGAAACTGCAACGTGCCTCATGTGGTGGATGTTGATGAGAAATGGCTGATGTCTCTGTGTGTCACTGTCTCTTCTATCACTGCTTGCAGCATTTCAGCAGTGGCTGAAAGGACTGGTGGGACTACCAATCTCCATCCCAGAATCTCCTGCCTCATGCCTGCCTGGCTGGGAAGTTTTCTACTTCCAGAGGCTACAGCATGGAGCTAAAAGTAGAAAGTCTTTGAGAGTCAGAGAAGTGGAAAATACCACTTTTGCAGTCATCTAAATAAACAGATCCTTGTGAGGGTGACTCCTGTGCGTGGTTGGTAGTTGGCCTGTTAAATCGGAGAGCTGTTGCCTCCAAAAGGGAGGAAAGGACATCTCAGGTCATTAATATTACCTGTTGCTTCTGAGATCAAGATATGCACACAGAATTGTCCTTGTACTTAGAGAAACCTGCCTTCCAGAGTGCAGATCTTGGACCTGAACAGTCCTTAAGTGAAGCATAGGAGGGAAAGATTGATCAAGAGTTTAGGTCAAAAACTGTGAAGGATTTTAATTTTCAAGTCTAAGCTGAAGATCCAGATACTTTCTCCCTAACTGAGCTTGTGATTTTGCTTTGTTTCCACTTTCCTTTCCTCAGCACTGTACGCAAGTGGATGCACACGGAACTGGGTTGGGTAGTGTCTGATTTTTTTTTCATTTCTCTTTTTTCTCTCCTCAGAGATGGTGAAATGTCTCCCGAATGCCAAACCAGCTCCCAAGGCTCAGCTAGTGTGTAGTAAGACAGGAGGCATAGAAAGCTGCTTCCTGTCCTGCCCATCCAATACTCTTTTTGTTCCAGGTTTGTACAAAACGTTTGTGCTCCTAAGTATAGAATGTGACTTGATGATTTTCCTCTGCCAATGTGTTTGCAGTTCTTACATTCAGTTTTTGTTCTGGACAATTGTAAATGAGCAAAAACATCATTATAGCTTGAACTGGGCCAGATAAGTACATCACTAAATAGAAGAGCTGATTACCACTTACATTAGAGTTTTGGCCCTTCGTTGTTTAATTTGAGGTGTCATTTGGAGGGGTGGGGAATTTCTAACAAAAACCTGAGATGTGTCTACTTTAGCCAGCAAGGTGCGAAAGAAAAATTTTAATGTATTGAACTGCTGTGTCAAAAGCGAGGGAGAAAAAAAATTGACAGTTGATTCCAGTGGATTCCTGCTGATTTTCAGTACCGGGTTTCTCAGCTTTGAGTGAAGTCCCCTGTGCCCATCCAGGCATCTTTTTAAAATGAGCTTTGCATCATGGCCTGAAATACCCTGTAACTGTGATTGAGCAGGAGCAGAAACACGTCCCAAAGCAGAGAGTGCCCTGGGAGGAACTCATCCTGGTGAGCACGTTCTGAGACAGGAGCAGGAAAGGACCAGTAGGACACACTGGGAAATTTAATGCTGTGGCTGCCACAGCACATGATCAGGCTCCCAGACCAGCTGGGGTGGCATAAAACTTCTATCAGCTCAGCCAGGGGCACCGTGGAGCAAAGGATGACCTATCGACACCTTTAAAACAGTCTTACTGTCTCATACAAAATGGATGCAACTAAATGTGTCTCAGGAGGCTATATGGCAAAAAGAATCTCTCAGTATTATCTGCTGTGGTTGCTGAGTTTTAATACATTTTCCTGGTAGTAGTTTAGCAGAGTGTTGTTTGTAGAAATTCATGCATTTCATCTTCTGCCTGCTTTGTATCATTGGCTCCAGGCAATTTTCATCTACAGTTTTGCAGGGCAGGTGGGGAAGGGGATTGCTACTGCTTTTTCATGCATGTTCTGGTTCAGACAAAGGATTATTTTCCACAAGAATATTTCTACTTTTTGTACTAATAGTCTAAGGACTATTAGTCCTGGCATTATGTGAAGTAGAGCTGTTCACACTTTATTTTCAGTTTATCAGGGATTAGTGGAACCATGCATTTATCTAATTTGTATGCACCAATACACAGTTTTATCTGTGCAATATGTTAACCCTGTTATGGTTCTAAGTACATTAGGTTTTGTTTCTGCCAATAAGTTCTGTCAGAGTCGGGAGCTAGAATTATTATGAAAGTACATGGTTTATTTTTTAAGTTAAAGAGATGATCAAAGCACAAGGATTCTGCCATGGACAAACACAAACTATTTTCTACTTGGGCAGCATGGAATCATTTGCAGCTAACCGCATGCCAAATTGTTTATAAAATGTAACATTTCAGTGCTGGAAGAAACAGAACTTGCAGTCAACAGTGACGCATAGCCTCTGGCAAGCTATTTCAGCTATTTGAAATCAAGTTCAGCACTTAAAACGCCTCCTTATTTAGCAGTATTAATCAGTTTGTCGAAGATTAATGCTGGGGGGGTGACAAGAGAGCAGATGCTTTGAGAGACTGTTGCCACACGTGCTGACACTGCGTTCTGCCCTGCAGATTCGGAGAACAGCTACACGCTGAGCTGTGGCGTTCCTGTCCAGCAAGGCAAAGCTCAGCAGAAACGCAATGCAACGCTGCCCAGCTGCGCAGGTAGGTGCTCTCCTGCTCGCCTGTCCAGGAGGTAGGACATGGAGGTCCTCCAGACCATTTAGGGGTTGCAAGACCTACAGCACTCAAGTTACACAAGACCAGAATTAAGGTATCCTGTGTTCCATCACGTGCACACTTGCTTTTCTGCATCCTCTCCTTGAGGGGCGGAGAGTACACAGTTGCCTTCCGGTGTGGCATGTGTTGGTACATCAGTACAGGAGTGGTGGAGGTTTGAGATGTATTCAGTAGTGACAGATATATAGAATAATTTACTTTCCATAGTTCAGCAAGGCAATAGCAAGCATATCAAAATGGCATTTCTTCCCAGGCTTGGAAGTGAGCCAGAGGGGCCCATCAGTAGCGCAAGAGCAGAAGGCTATTGCGGGTTCCAAGCCTTGCCTGCAAAGCCCTTCCTTAGGAACATAGATCCTCCTACTGGGGATTCCCAATAAAAAGGTTATGAGATTTTTATGAGCACATACTGCTTCATTTATCTTGTTCTCAGAAATGGCTGGATTATGTTTGCAGAGACATTTCAAAATGTGTCTTAAAGCTGATACTCAGCATAAAATAAAGTTCAGCTCAAAATGGTTGAGGTCTGGCAAAATTAGAAGCACCTTGAACAGCACCCAGCAGTGGGAAGTGTCATCTCACTTTATGTATGATTATCTGCTGTACTTCTCTCCAGTTTGCCAGATCTCTAACCATGTATTTCTTACATATTTGTAATGTGTGAGGAGGTGCGATGCTGAGGAGTGCAGTAACAGGGGAGCAGATATGTCTGCCTGTGGCACAGGCGCATGCTACCTCTACAGTCCTAGTTTGGCAAAGCCCTCCCAAGGAAAGAGGGACCCACGCTGCAGCACTTACCTGCAGCCACCTCTCCACCTGCTCCAGGTCCCATAGGCAGCCTACAGTGGCTGGCAGGTGATGGGCCAGGCCCAGCCTTTTCCACCATGGACTCTGCAAGGAAGTCAGCCAGCAGCCACATTTCCTAAGTGGTGCGCGGCTATATAACAGCCTTTAAAGTCACAAGACGTAACTGGCTTGGATTTAAAGCCGAAGAATAAAGCTTGCAAGCCATAGACCACAGTCAAATAAAAATGTTTCCTTTGGATGGTTTTCAACTGCCAACAGTGTAGCTTCCCTAAATTAATCTTATTCCTGGTTGGTATTACCAAGAGCAGAACACAGCCAAGTAACATGGGAAGTCACAGACAGAGTCAGGAAAAAAAAAGGCAGGAATTACTCTTTTTCATAGTAACAGACAAATTGGCGCAAATTCCACAAAGATGTGCAGGCCTGTTGGAGGGGAAGCCTGTGTGCAGTGCATGTGTGACACCAGCAAGTTCATTGATCTTCATGGCCTCAAGAATAAGTGCTTATGCAAAAAATATTAACTTATAGAGATGGATATTCTTGTACAAAGTGTGTAACTCTTGGGCTGTGTCTTTTCTGTGTCACTAGAAGTCTTCTGAGTCTGTTTTTAAAAACGAGTTTCAGATTTCATTTCATTGCATCCCAAATGATAGCTTTTTTATTTTACGTCAACAGATTCATTAGCCCCTCCAATCAAGCAGAAGGCTCGTTTTAAAATTAAGGATGCAAAATGCCATTTACGACCTCGCAGCAAAGAAAAAACAAAAGATTCTGGGAAGCAAGCTGGTTTAGGTATGTGGTTTCTTCTAACATGTAAACAGCACTCTAATTTTTCGTTTGCTTGCTTGCTTGTTTGCCTATTTTGTTTTCATACTGCAGACAGGAAAAAAAAACAATGTTTGTCATATTTGGATCTGAATTTAAGTTCAGGCCAAGGTTCACACACTAGCTGAACATTGCCTTGGGTTTGGATTTGACAGTATTGAAATGTCACCAGGTGCTTTGAAAAATCTTTGTTCACAAGTACATGAGTTTGGAATTCAGCTGAGCCTTTTTCTAGCACTGGTAATAGAAGAAATATCCTGAGGCAAAAAGCTGTGACCTGTGTGAAGTTGTGTGAAACAATGCCTGTTTGCTTTGGTTTAGTTTTCCCAAGTGTGGTTTATGAAAGAAAACAAAAGATGTTATTTATTTGCTTTATTCTGGATTAGTATCTGTAGTATTTGCAGCAGCAAAGATAAGCCCTAAATGGTGAAGTTATAATTCAGCTCTGGTGCTACGCAGCCTTAGATCTTTTCTTATGTTGGAGTGAGTAGTTATAATGTTAGAAAAAAAATTTAAAAGAGTTAGACATAATTACCAAAACTCTGAAATTAAAAAAAAGCTTATGTGAGGATGAATCAAAGTAATCAAATGTTCTTAAAATTCAGTATGACTGGGCATGTGGTTTTATTGTTTTCTAACATCATTTTTGAAGTTGGATAAGAAAGATACTTGAAAAGTTATGTGTATTGAACAGATCTTCATGACATTTATTTCTTGTCCACTATCCCCTTGATACTATGACAGGGACAGTTAAAGAGTGTTTGGGTGTTACTGCTGTGCATTTCCACAGCTTAAAAGTATTTGGAATTAATTTAAATTTAATATTAATTCAAAATTTTCCAGACTTTAATACACAGTATTGGTGTAATTGCAACGTAACAGCATACAGCAAACTTCTACTGTTGTGACTCTGCCTCACCACCACTTTTGCTAGAGAGTGAGGAGTCATATATAAGCCCTGAACAGAGGAGAGTAAAAAATAGGTATCCTAAAAAAAAAACTAATGGTTTAAAGATTTGATTTTTTAAATATAGACTCGTATTTTATCTTTACCCTGAAATCTAGACATCTATGACTCTAATTTTCCAAGTACCCACTTAAAACGAGTCTCAGTTGTCAAGATGCTTACCTTGTCGTTAGGGATTTTCTTCTTTTAATAAGATTTGTTTTTCAGACTCATTTTTAAAGTCATGCAGTCACCATGGGAATGTATTTTGTGGATTCATAGCCTTGTCCTTTGCTTTGCTTTGTTTTTATTATGTCATCTAAACTTTTGAGTCTAACAGAAAGATTACATAATACAACCACACGCTTGAAATGAAATCCTCCTGGTGGCCTGACTGCTAGAAATTTCTCCCTGACCTGGAAGGTCCATTGCCGATCAGAAAAAGGATGTTTTTCACTAAGATTTCTTTATATAGGGAAAGAATGCTCATGTGATTATGCCCCAGTGGATTATGGCCTTTTCCACATAATTGGCAACAGCATTCAGTTCCTCTGCTTGTGATAAGATGAAACAGCCGCAAGTTGTGCCAGGGGAGGTTTAGATTGGATATTAGGAAAAAAGCCTTCATCAAAAGGGTTCTCAGGCACTGAAACAGGCTTTCTAGGGAGGTGGTGGAGTCCCCATCCCTGAGGGTGTTTAAAAGATGTATAGATGTGGCACTTAGGTACACGGTTTAGTGATGGACTTGGCAGTGTTAGGTTAATGGTTGGACTAAATGATCTTAAGGGTCTTTTCCAACCAAAATGATTCTGTGACTTCCCCTCAGATAAAGCCTTCCAATATAGTTTCATAACCTCCCAATCAAATGTTTTAAAACCTCTGATATCTGGCGATTGCTGAAAGAGATAGAATACCAGCTGGTATTTTCTAGAGGCCTAGGCCTGCCACTCTCATGAATTTATGAAAATTGACTGTCTTGCTTTGTTTAACCATCAAATACATAGTACTGTTGGTCTTAGAAAATCTCTGTAAAGAACTTTCTAAGTCTTATGCAGAAAAAGGACAGGCAATTGTAGGCATTAGAGGTACCACTGTGCAGCTGAGCACCACCACACTGTGTTTTCACACCCTGCATTCACTAACAAACCCAAAATTGCACAGAGAAGGAGGTGTCTCACAATGTGCATGAAATGCTGTGAAGCTTGTCACTGCACTCATGATAACCCAGCTGAGATACCGCTTATTAGCCTGTCACTTGCTACTTTGCTACTTGATTTCTTTTCTGTGTTGCTTCTCTTATGCAAAGGAGGTCAATTCCCTTGTACAGACAACTGCCAGGTGACCTTTGTGAATCTCAAGTGTGATTCCTCTAAGAAAAAACGTCGAGGCCGTAAGTCCCCATCAAAAGAGGTATCCCATATCACCGCAGAGTTTGAAGTGGAGATGAAGTCGGAAGAAGTTTCAGGTTTGTGAAAGATCTGTCTGTGGAGAGAAATCAGAATTCAGTTCCTTTGTGTGTGGTTAGAATCTCTTTGATGCTATTTCATCAACCTATCATGCAAACTTTTTAGCACAAGCTTCATTCAGCAGCCTTTCCAAACTCATATTTTCACAGATTTAATTGAAAGGAATCGGGTATGAAATTAAGATGAAGGAACAAAGATTGAACCTGCAGCAAAATTCCTTCAAAGCCTTAAGTCATGTACTTTAATTTAGTCTGATTTCTTTAAACAGAAGTGCTAATTGATGCACAGAGAATGTAAGGACTAGGTAGAAGTTCTGCAACAACAATGATAAAAATAGGCTCCAAAATATATGTTGCTGAAACTTCAGTCTGAGAATCAAGCATTTTTATTACACATTTGGAAAACTCATGTTTTCATAACAAACTGTAGAAAGAAAAAAAATTGCTTCAAGTTATTCATGAGCTGTAATATTATGCTATAAAATCTGGCCAAAGAAAATGTGGGCTGAATTCTATAAACACATCAGTCCTCAAAGGTCGGTTTGTTAACCCTGAGGGGTACCTCACTAGGCAACTGATTCAAAGAGTAATCGTGCCAGAAAGTACCTTTCTTTGTTAGAGAAATGTGAAGGATTCCTGATCAAATGAGTAGAGCACAGGCAGATCAAATTCAGAAACAGTAGTGGTGGCAGACTGAAAGCATTATCTGGAAGTACAACACAGGGAGATTGATGCTTGCTGCAGCCCTTTTCCTGTGCATGCACTCAGTGTACGCTGATTTTTTAATGCTAACAATAAGATGCCAGCACTCAGTGTGCCCTTACAAGGCCATGAAACTCAGTTTGATGGACCTCAGCTACTGTCTTATCCCTTTAAAAGGCCTGATTTTGAATACAGTCAGCTGCTTTTACAATTGATACAGAGAAGACAGTGAAACAAATAGAGGTGTCATGGTGTGTTGCAGGCTCAGCTTTTTGTTAAGCGCCTTGTTTTAAACATGAATCTCAATTGCTTCTAGTTTTGTTATCATTTCCCATCTAGACACCTGTAACATTGACTGTGTTCGGAAAAGGATGGAGCAGAAGCTGCAAACTGCAATCAAAACATTGAGGAAATCTATTAATAAACAGCAATTTTACATTCAGTTTTCTGGGACAGAATATGAAGTGGCTCAGAAGCCAGCTAAAGCTACTGAAGGGCATGAAGCTTGCAGTACAGGGCAAGTGCTGCAGGATGGAAAATGTGGTAAGTTCCAATAACCTATTCAGCATATCCCCCAAAATAAGCAATCCAAAATGAGCTTGTCCCTAGTGAGCCAGGCAGGGAATCTGTGAGATAACATGATTTCAATCAGTATCACTCAACATATATGCATGAACCACTGGCAGTTAGTAAGACTTTGAAGGGAGTTCATGAAATGGTTGCAGGAAAAGAAAAGAAACATGTCTGTGGCTACATTCCCATGCTGTCAGCTGGTATATATCAAGGCCTACCACAAGACAATGTTGGCAATTAGTTCTCAGTTGCTCCCAGCATCTTATGAAAACATAATTACCATTCTGTAGAACAATAATATGGTATTTACCCAGATGCCATGGTCACCTCTCTCACACTCCTTACTACCAAGTAATCTGTGACCCATGGATATATTTGTATTTATCATTCAAGAGGTCTAATTAAAAAAAAAGAAAAAAAAAAATCTGTTTTAACTTTATGTAAAATACCTAATTTCTTTAAGCTTTTCCCAGATTATCAGGCTCTAGTGCTTTACTAGAGGTAAAGGTGCTAGTGCAAAGGTAACTAGGGGCAAAGTGCTAGTGCAAACCTATTAATGGCAGCTCTCAGTATGGCAAGTTTCCTTATCATCTTTTCAAAATCAGCATATCTGTTTTCCCAGCTGCTTTTAAACACCAAGTTATTTACAAGCACACAGAAATAGTTGAGTGCAGATCTGATAGGTGCCTTTAATGAGTTGGTTCAGAGGCTGTTTTCATTACAGAGGAACAGTGATTTAGAAGCTATTGAAAGAGTTGCTATTAGTGTCTAGATACCTGTACATTTTAACGACCCATACCCAGCAGAGAAAAATGTTTAATCGAGTTATGTGCCCTGTTGCAGCAGGAAAAGCACGTGTATTCATATCTGTATTTAAAACACTTTCCAGTTGGGGTATTTGAGTGTCAAGAGACATAAAAAATTACATGGGATACACTGCCGTCAGAGAAGTCTCTAGACTGGACCTCAGGAGACAGACTTCTTGTAGTCATCTGCCATAAAAACAACATGTAAATTCACATCACTTCCCATGTGTTATGCACCGCTATTTTAATTAAACTGCAAGGTTTTTAGACCGCATCAGCTTTATTAACAACATATTTCTGATGAACACTTCAATGCAGTACAATGCCATTTAATAGTTTAAACAATAGAAGGACCAAGCCCTGATGTAAACTGACCTAGACCGCAGTGGAGATGGGCCTGTTTACATTAGGTGAGGATCCTGGACTAACATATGGAAAATATACGCCACTGTAATACTGAGGCCAAAGAGATCCATCTTCTCTAAATGTTTGATATGAAGGCAAATAATGTGATCAAAATGGAAGTCCTTATGTAGATTCCCCTTTTCTTTTCTCAGTTACCTGCAGCACGGGCACCTTTTATAGCGGAGAACATAATCAGTGCGTTCCTTGCTCACCAGGAACATACCAAGACACAGAAGGTCAACTTACCTGTGAGCCCTGCCCAAGTAATGATGGACAGGGCGTAGCGGGCGCCCGGAATGTGTCAGAATGTGGAGGCAAGTTTCATTTGATTATAAGAGGGTTAGGTGTTGCCACACACCATGTGAGGCATGGAGGCTAAAAGAGGGGAGAGCCTTCCACACTTCTGTCTTGTAAAGGTAACAGAAGAAATCTCTGTGCACTTACAAGCAACACGCCAAATGTTTTGGCTTGTTCAATCCACTGACATTGCTGACAAGAAGATGGGACCTGCTACAGCAATGTGAATTATGGTATGGAAATGAGCAAGCCAAGCAAAGCACTTTGCTTCAAGTCAGGTATGGAATCTGGCCATACCTTAACTTGTAAGGACTCGTCAGGTATACTGTGAGCCAAAGGGATGGATTACTTTGGACTGGTATTGGTGAGTCTAATGAACCTGTTGATTAAAATGTTTTGCATGAGATGCAGTTTACCTGGTCTAATTAGCAGCAATCATAATTTTGAGATAGTTGCGCTGCAAGGATCTATAACCTGGACTCAGAGCTAATGACTGCAAGTTTCAGTGCTGCTTGAATTCACTGTAGCTTTTGGCAAGTGATGTAGTATCTCTGACTCTATTTCATGATGCATAAATGAGATCATAATTATGATAATACCTGGTCTCAGAAGTGAGCTGTGCTTCTGTTATAACTTGATCAAGATAAGGTTTTAAGACACAACTGTTAATTATTTTCTTTACCTTATTTCATTACAAATGAGCAAAATCTAATTTTTAGCAGATAATTTGACTTTGAAAGAAATCTGTCCTATCTGCCATGCAAGTTCTAACTTTAAAATTCATTCATGTAATTTACATTAATGCTTGCTTCAAGGATATCTACAGTGAACATACAACGAATGTCACTTGAGAAACTGCCACTTTTTCCCCATCCAGTGAATAAAAAATAACTCTAGAGTCTCCAGTCCAAACATATGGTAGATTTTGCTGATTTGCTGTACGAAGGAGCTATTACAGGAAAATTGTTGAAATGCCAGTGCATCTTTGTTATGTTGATTTGTATTTATCCAAAATCCAACAAGAACAGATTACCAAAATCAAATCTGAGTTTCTAAAAGTTGACTATAGTATACTGACCAAAGTGGCATGTGAACTGCAGGAAAAAGACTGGTTTGTTTCAAGGCTTGTGTTTGAATTACTGTTCTGCACAACAACAAAAAGAAACCCATCTGATTATTTTTGCAGAGTGGATCTGTCTCAAAATGTTTGCTGTCAGATCACAACAGTCTGGTTTTCTGCTCAACTCTCTGCTTTTCCCTTTCTCTGAAAGTGGCAAGGGAAGAAGTCCAATATGCTTTGCACTTCATAAACCTGCCTGTCAAAGATTTTATCAAAATCAGTATGTCTCCATAAAATGTGGCAGCATATGTGATGAAACAGTGTATTTTGATGAACACAGATATTGTTAGAAATGCACTCACCACATGTAAGCAACAGCATTTTTGCATCATATCTTCTGGAGCAGTAATGCCTGTGTGGTAACAAATAAGGTATGACTGAAATCCTCACCCCTACAGGTGAGGCACATACAACAGGTATGGAAAAAGGTTTTAAGTGCCTGTTGTGTAGAACTCCGAGTTGGAGCTGCAAGTGAATAACATGCTGTGGTAGTTAATTTACATGGCATCCATGTAGGTCCAAGGCCAAACAGAATAGAAAACCTAGCCATTTGGGGCATTTCTCAGAGAAATCCCCTGAGATCTATTTTTTTTCTTTTTTTTTTTTGCATTTTCAATACAGAAAGCAAGGGAGCAAGTTATCTCACTCTGATATACAGGTAAAGACTGAGACATATTCATGTTGAAAGCATCAGGTATTTAGCAGTTCTAAAACCTAACTGTACCTCTTCTTTAAAAGGATGTCTGTAAGCCACACCTCACAGGTGCTTAATGTTCACATTAAAATCAAGATCCAAATCCACGCTTCATTAACTGCCTTCATGTTAAAAGCCCAGTGAGAAACTGGACCAAAGCAGATGGGTCAGTCTTGCTACAAAAACAATAGCAGAACTGTCTTCAATATCATAGTATTTCTCAGAGGTCTGTGTCACAATAGCCAGCTTGTACAGTCATATTCCAGCCAGCTGGGATGGAAGTGCAACTAAATCCCACAGGTGTCCATAGCAGTTTGACCTTTTTGTATGAACAGAACTTGAACTTTGCTTTTGTTCAAGAGTTCTAGTTCATCTAAAGTGGCAAGTTACCCCAGTTACTAGATGCCCCAGCATTTATCTCCCAGCAAGTATTGGGGTTCTTAAGAAAACCCAACCCCAACTATAGCTCTCAGAACTTTCAGATTTTCAAGCCAGTTGTTTCCACCTGCTGTTCAGTTCTCAGGGAAGCTAAATTACAAACTTGGGATTAGGCAACCTTGGGGAACACCATACATCTCAAAGTGCTGGTCTCCCAGGCTGGAGTGGTATGAAGATAAGCATTAATGCCATAATCTTAAAAAACTTGACATCCTGATTCTCAGGAAGGTTGTCAAAGAGTAAAGTACTTAAGCTAGCAAGAACCAAACCAAATAAATGCCTATCAGAAACTGCTTGGAGAGCAAATCTGGAAACCAGGTTGTATCTTTCAGTAGACTTATTCACAAAATGCTTCACTTTACACAGACCAGAGCTTCTGACAAGCACTAGTTTTCACAGCTACCTGGAAAGCTGCTGATGTCAGCTGTTCTCATAGACAGGGTGCTGGACTGGTCCCATCCAGTCTGGTAAATCCCATGATCTACTGCTTCTATATCTATAAAATGGAGATACAAAAAAAAAAAAAAAAACAAACAAAAAAACCACAAAAAACCCACACAATTATTTGCTCCACAGATATAGTGCAAAATTTAATTTTTTCCTACAAAGTGCTTTGAAATTCTCAGATGAGAGACTTGGTGAAAGCACAAAGTTCTAACGTCTTTATAAAGCCCTTGCTAAAAAGCAAAAAAAACGGCAAACAGAAACATAGGTAGCAAAGAGCTACCAGTGGTATTTACTGGTGCTGGTTTTAGGAAGCAGCTACAGGAAGAATACAAAACCAGCAGGTAAGAGTAGAATTTGATCCGCAGGTGTCTTGCTGTCATGTGTTTAAGTTAAAGGAAGCTTTGCTAACTACTGGTGGGTTTTATACTTTGTCCAGAAAAGTTGGCTCACTGATACAGATGATCATTTTCAATTTCTAGGGCAGTGTTCTCCTGGGCACTATTCTTCAGATGGTTTTAAACCTTGTAGAGTCTGTCCTCTTGGTACATACCAGCCTGAACCAGGAAGGACCCTCTGCTTTCCATGTGGCGGTGGGCTTGTGACCAAGTATGAAGGTGCTGTTTCCTTTCAAGACTGTGAAACCAAAGGTAAATTTGTAATCTTTCCATAATTCATATTCCTGCTGCTTGCCCTTCTATTTGTAATCTTTAATACCAAGGGGCTTTGAAAGGTCCCAAACCAAACACAGTCACTGCATGTAAAAACACAGTGTATAAGTAAAATAAATGGTTGGGAAATCTATCAACTAGGGATCATTTCCCGAGTTTGCAGAGACTGAACTGGCTTTATAGCTTTCTTTGGAATTACCATGGGCAGGTATGGGGTCAGCATGGCAACTGTTGAGTGAATCAGCCCCACTGCATGGCAAGAAATAAGACAAACTTGCATTAGATAATGCTTAAGCTTTCACATCCTGTATATTTTTATTTATCAAATGAGAAAAACTAAACACTACAGAAGTTACATGAAGGACTGATTATTAATGGGCTAGAAACTGTAAGCACACAACACGTTGTGTGTTCTATAATGTCAACTTCCAGTGCAAAGGCTGAAGAAGGAATCTGTTCAAATGAATGTTGGTGTAGCTACTGGAATGACATGGTGGCCCTGGCAAACAGACACTGATAGAAACATCTCTCCCGCTAGTGTGAAAGGCATTTTTATTGCTTAGGCAGATACGTATCAGCTTCCATTTATTACAAACTTATTGGAAAACACTGTATTAAATGCAGAGACAAATGTAGCATGTTTACTAGTTTGTAAGGGTTTAGCTCTAGTCTTTGGAACATAATTCTAGTTAGAAGGTCGTTTGTAATGCAAAACACAGGGAGCTGTTGTCTTCTTTTGCTTTTTCTGGCCTAGTAAGTATATTGCAGAACTGGGACTGTGAGGTATATATCCAGGGTAGAAGAAAGTTTTCTGTGCATTGAAGATCGTTACTTCCTGAAAATAACACATCTCATACCTTACAGTTCATTGTTCTCCTGGGCACTACTACAACTCCACAACACACAGATGTATCCGATGCCCTGTGGGAACATACCAGCCTGAGTTTGGTCAAAACTACTGCATCACCTGCCCTGGGAACACAAGTACAGATTTTGATGGTTCCACTAATGTTACGCATTGCAAAAGTAAGTTACTTTTATACAAGTTGTGAGATGATGCATATCTTCAGATCTGAACTGCAGCTTGAAGGTTCCAGCTGTCAGGCTGGACTTCAATTCTCTAATTGCTAGTTAGCATTCACCTATTGTCAGAAGGAATAGTAAAAATTGGGAAAACAATGAGAAAAAAACCTGGAAAACTACCACCTGATGCATGTGACTGGTTGAGCTTTAATGTAATTTGGCACAGTGCCAGCAGCAAGTTAAAGGTACAGAACTTTTGGGGTCCCAGATCTTGTAAGGGATCTTGCAGTGATGCATATTCCTCCATGTCTCTGCAGAGCACAGTATCATCTATCAAAGCAACTGCCATTTTATAATAATTATAAAATACTGGGAGAGATGGTCATGCATACTGCAACTACCAGCTAATCACTTATGACAGTGAAATCTTCTCACAGGCATTTCTGCAGTACTCAGCCTCCTATCTTCAATTACCATTTTAAACATCCCCAAAGATTCCAGTGCAATTTTGTTTGATCTTTGTGAATGACTGATTCTTTTAGGCAAGCAATTTTTTTGATCTCTACCATGCTAATTTAAGAGAAGGTGTCTATAATAATTAGGTAGCATCATCTAAACAAACTATTCATGTGCAAGTCTGTCATAAGTTTTTATTCTGATTATGTCCCACGTGCCTTTGAAGCCCTTCATCGTTTCTAATGTAATTTAACTGTATTAGATATTTGTAAGGGATTTGAAAAGTTTGATGATTTTCCTATAAAATAAAACCACCCTTGTCACTTTGCTGTCTTAGATATTCCCTGTTTGCAAGTCAGTTTCTGATCTTGCATGATCTCTGAGGCTTAGATTAAGCAAAATATTTGAACATGTATCCAGTTTTATGACTAGGCCTGGAAAGATCAAGCTTAAGTAACTTACCGAATCAGGCTTCTGTGGCAAATTCAATAGGAGATCTGAAAACTCAGAAAGTGAAACTGACCCATCAGTGGAGCTTCTTTATTGACTGGTTTAATCTAAAATAAAGCCAGGCAAATCTTTAATTAAGATAAGGTTGGCTATTAAGATCATCACACTCATTCAGCTAAATCAGCTTAAAAACCAAGTGAAGTTAAACCAGAATACCTTCTGCATTTCAGGATGGTCTCAGTGGCAACCACTCTGTGATAACCTCCACAGTGGTATCATGTTCACTTACCTGTGTTCATTTCTTAATCAAGTGTTAAAAGCAGCCTGGATGATGTGTTCAATCAGCCTATACACTGGAAATTAAGGTTTTGCAAATCATTTGGAACAGCCCTGCAGATCAAGTATTCCTTTAAAGGCTCTCCATGGTAAACAAAGAGGCAGTTGGAGAATGTATGCATTTCTAAAGCCACAAGGAGGAGTTTAGACTTGCTCTTGACAGATCTAGAAGAACACCCCAAATTAGCTAATGGGCTAAAACAAATTCTAATTCATGTTTGTCCACAGACCAGCACTGTGGAGGAGAACTTGGTGATTATACTGGCTACATTGAATCGCCCAACTATCCTGGAGACTACCCAGCTAATGTTGAATGCATTTGGAATATAAACCCACCCCCAAAGAGGAGAATACTCATCGTAGTACCTGAGATATTTCTCCCAATTGAAGATGAATGTGGTGACGTTTTAGTAATGAGAAAAAGTGGTAAGTTGCCAGACCTGGGCTATAGAAATATTTACTGCAAACTGGCTGAGTGGAAAATTCATACTGAAGGGAGAACTCTCTTCATTTATCCAGTGTTTTTAAAAGGATTGTTGAATGAACTTGGCACAGCAAGTTAAAACAGAACAGTGTATCAATAAAAATCAACAGACTTATATTAATTATTGAAGTGTCTTGGCTGAATCACGGAGCAGTTAATGGGCTTCTGTCTCGCCCAATTATGACATGGGATAAATCACTGCCATTACTGAACTCAACAAAGCTATGCTAAGTTATACTGGGAGAGCTTTCTCGAGTTATCTGTACAAGCTGTACTCTAACGTAGCCCTTGCAAGTATGTGTGCACTGCAGTTACTGCTAAATCTGGGCAGTGACACAGGTTGATACACCTGACACCCACAGGAAATCCAAAGTCTTCCCAATTTTATGAGGAGTGGGGAAGTTGTGAATGCTCCATCCCTGGCAGTGTTCAAGGCCAGGTTGGACAGAGCCTTGGGTGACATGGTTTAGTGTGAGGTGTCCCTGCCCATGGCAGGGGGGTTGGAACTAGATGATCTTAAGGTCCTTCCCAACCCTAACTAGTCTATGAGTCTATGATTCTATGTGTTGTGTCTTTAGGAAGTTAATTCAACAACTTCTGAATATAAGGCGCCAATGAGATGCACTCCTCCTTCAGTCCTGTTCAGGCATCCAGCTGCTGCTGATCTGTTGCTGAATCTCCAAGATTCTTCTATCCCTTCTATCACAAGAAGCTTCTGCTCTGAATGTCAGCTGAGAAGCATAGTGTCAATTTGACATTTGTCACTTCCCAAGAAGGGTGCAAAAAAGTTATTTTATAAAGAACATTTATTTATTTAACCTTCTTTCTAGCTTCTCCTACTTCAATCACTACATATGAAACGTGTCAGACTTATGAGAGACCTATTGCATTTACCTCAAGATCAAGGAAACTCTGGATTCAGTTCAAGTCAAATGAAGGAAACAGTGGCAAAGGATTTCAGGTCCCCTACGTGACTTACGATGGTGAGAATTGCATTGTTTTCCACCTTTGTGTTATATCTGAATTGCAGAAAATCATCTTGTAGAACATCTCATACACTGATTACAGGGAGAGAGGAAGAGGAAAAGCTTGATGTAACTCATTCTTAGTCCAGAGAATTACATTAAAACTACTTGCAAAGACTTTGAAATAATACCTATTTCTATTTTTGTTACTTTTTCCAATACTTTAAGGACGGACAGCACATTACACAGAATGCTTTAAGCTTAAGCCATATGCCACTGAATTAAATAAGACTCTTTTTAATTGACATTTATCATATGAATAATGAGAATAACATTTGCTGTGCATTTTGGGAAGCCCCTTCATCAATCCTATTGGTAACACAGCCAGTTTTGAAAATTATAAATTAATAAAATCACAAGTCCAACTGAGAAAGAAAAAAAAAGTGATACAAAAAGAAATATCCTTTCAGTAACCACTTTCATAAATCCACATTTTAAAACACCCTGGTTTGTCACATAAATTATGTATTAAGCTGTGTATTTTGGACTTTGGGATGATTTCTCTTTTAATGAAACAAAGACTTTTCTGTGGTACCTTTGGCAGCTGTTAGTTCTTCTCTTTTCCAAACACCAATGAAATTTTGTGAATGATGAGAAAACCTGGATTAAGTTGGTCATTCTGGAATCAAAATGATAGCTGTTCTCAGGGCAGAAATCTGGATCTGCTTCTGGCTGTACTGCTGACTTCACATATAACCTCTGACAGTTATTTTATATCCCTGGTCCTGTTTCTTCATCTCTAGAACGTAGATAATAAAACATTATCTGAAGGGAGTAGTGTTCTGGGGCTGTTAGTATTTATATGGGTAATTCAAAATTAGTGTTCTAAAGCAGTGAAAAATTTCAATGTGTTTAGATTAGACTACAGCAGCTTGAGAGACACGGAATAATTAACTGGATACTAAATTTTTCCACTGTCTTGAAGAGAAGTTCTAACTAATGTCTGGCTATTACCCTTCCAAAGGATGTCACAAACAGGCACTCATCTGATCTTTATTTTTCAGAGGATTACCAACAACTAATAGAAGACATTGTTCGAGATGGACGATTATATGCATCAGAAAATCATCAAGAAATTCTAAAGGTGAGAAAGTTCTGTTTTATCCAAGGCTAAGCAAAAATTCCCTTTACAAAATATTTTCCCAAGATACTTCTCACTACCCTGACAGGGTCACAATATTTAAAGCTTTAGTGTGACCTCAAATTAAATTCACTGCCTTCTGAAGTTTATGCCTGTATTTGGAGCAGCACAGACTCAGTAGCTCAGCTGGGCTGAGCGTATGCTTAAGTCCTTTGCTGAATCAGGAGCTAAAGTAAAGGTACGCTAATATGATTGTATGTTAGAAAAATTAGTCAACCAAGAATAAAGAAACTATTGTTTGAAGACCTGCCTTCTGGCATGTGTTTAAATGAGTCATTAAGTTGGCATTTCCTGTGCTTTAAGAAATGTATTTGCCTCAATCACCAACCTGCCTCAACAAGACATAACCATAATATCCCATTGTAAGCTGTCCATGAAATGGTTTTCCAAAGGTGCAAGCCATGCACTGGAGAGAATTGTGGAGGAAGGTTGCTAGGCTGCCACCTCTAACAATTAACTAATTCAAATTGAAAAAAGGCTGTTCAGGTAGCAAAATTCAGCCATGTAAATATCCAACTTGGAAGGACAGGAACTGAGTGTCAGCCAGCTCCCCTGGCCAGCCCTGCCAGTCTTCTTTCACTAGAGCTTTGAGGTTGCTGAGGTCCCAGCTGCAATGGATATATATGGTCAGGCACAGGCTCAGCTGAGGCTCTGAACCAAGGCTTTACCAAGGTACGGGAGAGGAGCTGAGCATCACTGGAAGGCCAGCCTTCTCTCTTGCTTGAGGAGGGAAGGGACAACAGCATGGAGCAGGCTGGAAGGGCAGCCAGAGGCAATCTGCAGTCCTAATGCCTAACTTTTGCAACCAGTTTGTGGTTAACCCAGCTGCTGCCCTCTCAGGGATTTCCAGGAATGCTAATTGCAAAAAAACTGTCCATCACAGCAGAAAGATGTATCAGTATAAAACTCCACAGTAACATGGAGTAGTTGCCCTCCAGTGCTGTACCCAGAATCAAGCTTTGAAAAAAACCCTGATTGTTGTTCATTAATGTTGAAAGCTGTGCAGGCACTGAATCCAGACCCTAATTTTATCTAATATATATGTTGTCACCCACAGGACAAGAAACTGATTAAAGCTCTCTTTGATGTACTGGCACACCCACAAAACTATTTCAAGTACACAGCACAAGAGTCAAAAGAGATGTTTCCAAGATCATTTATAAAGCTACTGCGATCAAAAGTTTCCAGATTTCTACGACCATACAAGTAGTCCAGTGGTATTCAATTGTTGGTTATTTTGCATTCCTGTCAAATATTGTCTTTTCTCTGTAGTAGAAACATTTGCTAATTTGAAGGCTCTTTTTTGCAGTCTTTGTTTTCAGTTGTATATTGAAGAATACCTATAATGTAAGCATTCAAAGCCAATGTTCTGAATGGGATTTTTACTACAAAAGAAAAAAAATGTGCATCCTTGAGCACATCTAGTTGAAAAATCCAAATTTCTGTCTGCACTAGTGTATCTTCACTTCCCATTTGAAATTACATGAGAGAGAAAGTATTCTTTCCAGCTTTTTCTTTTTCATCAACAATAACTTTAATCAAGCAAAGAAGGAATTTCTTCAAATTGGATTAAACTACCTGCAGATAAATTCTGTTGTAGAAAGAAGTATGTAGTATAAAATTCGCATTTTGAATTGCACTTGAAGTTTATATTTGAATCTCTAGAAGAAAAAACTATCTAAATTTTGCTATCTGTCTTTTGAGGCTGAGTGGAACCTCTGTCCAGGTAGACATCAAAAGGGAAAAAAGAAAAAAAAAGAAAAAAAAACCCCACAGATGTATAATTTTTTTTTGTGACTTACATGAGATTTGAGTTCCTTGTTCTGGCCTCCTAATGTTTTTATCTGTCCTCTTCTAAACTTCTTCAGAGGTTTGCCACTCTCAGTTACTTCACTGAAACAGATTTAGCTCTGGATTTCCATACACCAATTGGTCCCTTTGAAGGCATTTACAATAGGATAGGTGAGAAATGAACAACAGCAGTAGTAGTCTTGTTTTTCTTTCTGTTAATAGAGCATCTAATTAATTACAATATATAAATATATAAATATATACTTCTATTTGTGGGTACATTGGCAATGTTATCTTTAGTTACTGTAAATATTATTCATGCTTAAATCTTAAATCCCACTCACCCTATTTACCCATATCTATTTGTAACTTTGCTTAGATGATTAAATGACTTCTCCAAGTACTTGTCACTTCCGTTTACAACAAAGTGAAGCCTTTTGGAGTTTTGTAATACTGGATAATGGTTTAGTCTGGGACAGTCTCTTTTGACAAATATTATTCCAGGAGAAATAACATCAGTTAAGATGCAACTGCTGTCCAGTAAGGGGTCAGCTGTTGTCTCTTCTTTGGGCACCCCTCATATGCAGACCAACAGAGTTAACCGTGAGGATGACATGCAGAGAGGTGGAACTCCTCACTGAGGAGGAATTTCTGTAGGACCTGCCACCTCTGAAATGCTGAGAATAGACCTGTGTCACAGGCCCAGGCTCTGTGGAGGTGAGGGGTGAACAGGACACAGTTTTGCAGATGAAAGCAGGCCCTGCAGTCTTCAGAGACCTGCAACTCCCGTTTGTCACAGAATTGCAACCATGGGAGCCACAGGGGCTGCAAGAGAGCATTAGCCTCGTGGTCAGGCCTTCCTTACGGAGTGACATGTACTGGTGGTTTCAGAGGATGATAAATCCTGTGTTTTCTAGCACAGGAGATAATTTCAATGAGAGAGTAGCCTTTTTTTAATACTGTTTCAGCCTCTTTACTCTAAAGTCCCTTCCTTTTGTGTATCACTTTCCCTTTTGATCCTACAAGTTTATTACATGGAGTAAATATCACACTAGCATACTCTCAGAAAGAGACTAGCACACCATTTTGCTTCACTGTTGGGTTCAGGGTTTTTTCTGCATATCTATCTACCCTTTAGTTTAACATACGATTGAATGCTCTCAAAGACATACATTATGGGTGGTTACGATTAACTTGTTACACATTTGTCTTTGATCAAGTACTGTTTAAATTTACAAATCTGGTTTCTGTTGGCTACAAGTGGTTGAATATTCCATTTCTTAAGTATTCTGTTGAGGTTTCCTACTTAGACATCTTGTAATTTTGCTTCCCTTCTTTCCTTTTCTATTGAAGAGTATAGTTTTTTTCTTTCTGTGCCTGAACAGGTTCAACTTGGGGTCTGACAACTCATCTTTTCCACTCATGGATCTTAGGTCTTTGACAAATTTCTCTTTAGTATATATATATATTCATATATTAACACTCATTTTAAAATGTAGCATCTCCACAAAAGTCCTTTGTTAAAGGCTGTTAAACCTAACCTTTTATGAGGATGTTGAAACTACTTTTTTAAGTATTCATCATGGGTTACTATAGGTGGACATTTGAAGGAGTACATCTCAGCAGTCCTAGACTCAGTGCATGTCTGGAATGAAAAGAAAGTTGTATGTATTTTTTAATTTAACAGGAGTTATTTGTGGAAAATAATTAAAAAGGCAAAAAATCTTTTTAGGTACTCAATTATGTAAAAGTGCATAGCTAAAAAACTACTTCAGCTGAACAATATTCCAAAGTCTGACAGGTAGTTCAGAATGATCGGAATGGGTCAGGAGTGCAGCCACTCTACTGAAACATATGAAGGAAAAGATAGGAAAGATATGGAGAAAAATAACTTACTCATTTGCTGAATGGTTTGCAGTGATCGTTAGTATTTCAAACTTTAGTGAGTGAACTTTGGAACCTGATGCTGTGCAGTGAGTTTAGTAAAATCCTTGTTAAATTTTTGCTTAACAGCCCACATATTTGGACACTGGTGCCAAGCTGAACAAACCTCCTCTCTGAAGTGGGTCTGAAAGTCCTTGCCTTACAAATCCTGAAACCACTAGCATTTTCCACGTTCTTTAGCTATATTGGAATCCAGTGTTAGCGACTACAAGAGGGACATGTTCCGGTCATGGCCCCTGTTAGTGGGGCTTTCGTAGAGCTGTGAGAGGTGAACACAGGAGGGATCAGCTACATTTAGCTCTGGTACCACTTGCCCTTACTTACAACACATTAGTTCATCCTGACAGACATCCTCAGAGTGTGAGTTAGTTCATACTCCCCAGAGCCATCTCAGGGCATGGAGTACATAGTCAGGACAGGGCACTAGAGGATTTCTGTAGCAAATGCAGACTTTGTGTTGCTGAAAGAAGAAGGAGAATAATCTGGCCATCAAAGTGAAATGTTTCGGAATATACAAGGGTTTCACATGTATTTAGAAAATGAGTCAGGTCTGAATGTTGCGGCTTTGCATAGAAATGGATGTGCAAATTTCTAATGAAATAATTAACAACAGGTGGTCTGTAATACTGCCTGAACTGACTTCAGCTGATCTGTACAACAGCACAGTGTTTTTACATGAACTCTAAAAGTGCTTTTACTTTCACACTAGATTTACAGTTACAAAAACTGGTGGTCACCAAGTAGAAGGTGAGCTCAGCTCTTCACTTGTTAATGTAGGTATAGAGTGCCTTCATTGTCAGAAGAGAACATACTGCTACTATAAAACAACAGTACAACAAGGAATGTCTTCTTCAATGGAGAAGGCCTAGACACATTTGGGAATCAAAAAACCATAGAAGGAGAAATATAGGTATATAGAAATATAGCCTTTAAGAAAACCAGCTTTGTGAAATGAATCAACACATCACAGAGTAGAAAATTTTGGCTTTTAACCTAAACATGAAATATCGCATTTAAAAATATTCAATAAATACAGCCCTGTACTTGCTCTTACAGAATTACATGTTGTGTGCAGGATAGGTGCAACAGCACATTTATGTGTTATTACAGCAAGGCCGAAGAAGTGTCCGTTTGTGATTGACCAATTCCACATCACAAAATGAGCTTTTCATTTTCAGTTTGCAAATGCCTGTATGCTTAAAAGCTGCACCTGTAGCACTTAGAATTTTAAGCCTCTCCTCCTGCTTTAAATACTGCACTTACTTTTAGTTAGGTGGTGGTGAATCATCCCTAAACATTCTCCTGTGGCATCACATCACTGCCTGCACACCTGCTGTGGTCCAGGAGACTGCAGCAATCAGAAGTTGCTAATCAAGACCTAAGTCCTGTGTGATTGCTGTGGCAAAGTGCCTGTGCATGTCCTTTGAGTACAGGAAGCATCAGCATTCAGTGCTCAATGGGTTGCCACCTGCACCTTGCTTGCAGTAGCAAGATTTATTCTGCCTGATGATTTTGCTCACTGAAACCAGATTTAAAGCTGCTGAAGTCTTCTTTCAGCTCATTTTCTTGCCCCGCCTTCCTTCCCCCAGCAAACACTGGATTTTTACCTAAAGACCAACTTTTCAAAAGAAACGTATTTCCTCATTGTGCCTCCCCCATAGGATAAAGTTAAATTACGGTACAATATAACTACTAAAGATTTAGACTTATCTTTCCTATATGTTAGCTTCATACTAGGGTATACTTAAAAGTAAGTAAGCTTACTTAAAACTAGCTTACCTAGTAAGCTAGGTTTAGTTTAGTTAATATCATTTTAGACTATCTTAAAAACATACAGGCTTGGTCACAGAGTTTTCAGAGTCTGCATTTTGAGTTGTCAGCTGCCCACCTGCAGCCCTGTGTCTGTAAGCAGAACGCAAAGATGCAGCCACATGAATAAGGAACGTGCTTACATGCATTAAACATTCAACAAGGAAAGCCAAACCCCATTCCCTGCCCTGCTGATAAGCACACACAACTGATCCAGATTTCTCAGGTTAATCTTATCCATATGAACAGTCCAGTTTTAATCTTGCAGATAACAAGTTACAAACTTCAGGAGCAAAAGCAGTGGTTTAATTCTTACATAAGAACTGCTGACTGGTATTTGCCAGCAAAACCCAGCTGCTCTGTGACAGTTCCCATGTCTGGACTCTAAATACCTTTGAGCGCTCTTAAAAAAGAAGCTGGAATGAAATCTTCAACAAGTGAATCCAGTGGTGAATTCTCAGCCACCTCAGGGGTCTGGATTTTCCCTTTTCTAGTGATGGGAATGAGCAACACACACAGTTACTTGTACCTGTGTCATGAGTTCAAGTAGCTGCATTTTTGTCATAGTTTAAAACCACTGATTGACAGGGATGCTACTAACTGGAGAAGTTCTGTAGACTCTCAGTACTTTGAGAGTTTAATAAAACTGTTTTCTAGGATGCAAGACTGTTGTAAGCACTTGGCAGGGAGGGGGAGACTTTTGTCTTCAGTAAGACTTTACAGAAGAAAGCAAATTTCTGTAAGGTAGTAGGAACTTATTCCTCAATGTGAGACTTGGATTCAGAGAGAAGTCTCATGTTTTACCATAATATTTTTCATCTGAATAGAAACAGAATGGGAGATGAACTCCGAATGTCAAAAACCTGTTATCTAAGTACCTGAATATATACAATTACAGATTGTTCTTTCATTTATTTATTATTTTTCCTCACTAAGCTTTTAATCTATAAAATTAATATGTAATATACAAGAGTAAAATGTACAGAAGTACCTTTAGATGTAATAATTTAAACCATCTGTATTCAGAAAGCGGACATAAAAACCTTAAAGACATACAAATGACTGCAGTTCAATTTTAGCTGAATTACTCAATATCTAGAAAAAGAAGTGGCTTTGCTTAATTAAAGTTTATTTTAGTGATTGTGAAAATATCTTTTTTTAGAGTTTTTGTTACTTTTTAATTAAAATTATTTTGTAAATATTGTTTTCTATGTTTTATACCTTAGAAAGGCCATTAATTGGCATTGACAGCAGCAGATACTGAGCACAACGATGAAAAAGGTACTGTAGGAAACTGGGGTGGATGTGGTCAGCAGCCAGATTCATCCTTCCAGGTTACTGCTCTTATTATTCTGCAGTCACACTGGCATCATAGGAAGAGTTTTATGGAGCAGTTTAACCTGCTGATTTTCAGAGAACTGACTATCAAGTGTCATTCTGAAGTGCTTATCATTTTCATAACATATAAAGAATATTTTAAAGTTAGTACTAGTTCTTCTTCCATTGTTATGATAAGAAACAACACAAAACTCAGAAATAAAAGGGAATCCAAAGGATGATGTCCAAGTATAGTGTAAAGACAAAGAAAAGTAGGGCATCTCTCTGCTTCCAGCTAGCAGTGGAAGTGATAAAACCTCATACTGGATCAGATCATAGAGCCTTTTTTAGGCAAAACTGCCACTGAGGTCAGTGGTAGCTTCACCTATATAAAATTCACTATGATCACGTCCATCATCAGTTAAGCAGGGATTTCTGGTAGATTAGGTTTTGGGGGAGAATACCTGGAGTGTAATATTGGTTCCTATACTGATTTGCTCTGTGTGATTCACTGGGCAAGAGTGACATTTTGAACTAAATGCTTATAGATGCTGCTGGGACTCAGAAGCTTTATTACCAATGTAAATTATGTACAAACAGCTATTTCCATATGAAATGTACCATGGTAGTTTAGGGCAAAGATAGTGAATAACTGTACAAAATTTGATACTTAGAAAATAAAACACAGTGGTCTAAGCCTTACCAATATTCTAATAATACTGTCAGATTTGTAGTAGAAAAGGTTGTTGTAAATGTACCTTATGAGAAAATACATTTCTTTTTGCCTCTGTATATTAATAGCTTTGATTTCCATGTCAAAGCTAAGAATGAAGCATGTAATAAATTTTTTGTTAAAATTGCTTTCATAATAAACGTAAAATGGAATGGATCTCCCTGCCTGACGTTTATTTGTGTACATGAAAAAGGCTCCATACACCAGTATAATGCAGACAGAAATCAGAAGAGAACTTCGCCTTTTGATAGCATTCACATATTCCGGTCTGATTTTCATCTTGAGGCAACAGAGAGCTTGCTCTTCCTCATCTAACAACTGGAGTTTGTGAGTCCTGGGGCACACAGAGGTAAGTGCCTTCCAGACTTCAAGAAGAGTTTTTCAGAGCAAGAAGAAATCCTGACCACAGCAAAGCCCTACATCACCAACATCCCTTCAGGACCTTTAACATCTCTTAAAATAACTCTGAATTTACTAACTGCATCTCCTGCAAGTGCCCTTTCCCACAGCCCTCTCTTGAGAAGCAGCCTCAAAGAAAAAAAGAAAGAGGAAGGAAGCTTTCTTCTGCTGGTGGCCTGATGGGCTATTCCCACCACAAGCTGCCACTGAAAAGACCCCTGACTTCCAAACTCACCTGCTGCTTATTCCACTGAGGACTAATTGAAAGGAAAATACACTTGCACTTTGAACCAATGATTTAAAGAGAGATCAAAAGTGTCCTTTCTCCCTCTAGCCCTGCCATAGTAAAAATGTATTTGCCCAGGCCTTCCTTGCTGCTGAATTTTACAATGATAGATTTTCACAGTCCAAGATTACAAAGCAAGCAGAAACCGTACAACCAGTGGCCCAAGTGATTCTGGCAATGATGAAAATGGATGATGACAAACTGACAGAAAACAGACTATCATAGGTCAATTAGATCTAAGTCATCTTTTGTACTACAAGAAGTACAAGTTGTCACTAAGGATACACAGCATGCTAGACCAGACAAAAATCATGGATGTTGTTAATAGAATTGCTAGCACCTGGTAACAGGTTTGCCACTCAGCAGTGCTTGTTCAGAAGGTGAGCACAGCCTGTCAAGCATTGTTAACACTACAGCAGCCACCTACTGCAGAACAGGCAGGAGAGCTCATCTACCAGCATGGTGTTCTGCTGATGTTCTCATATAAGTAGTTTACCATAGAGAAAGCATTTATCATATGACCGTATGCTCTGCT